TATTTGTTGTTTACAACAAAGATAAATTCAAATTAAATTCTGATGTCTATAACATGAATACTAGACAAAAATATAACTTCCACCTACCCTCATCAACTTTATCAGTATATCAAAAAGGAGTCTACTTTACTGGCATAAAAGTGTTCAACAATCTGCCACAAAGTATTAAAAACTTGGGCAATGATACTAAAAAGTTTAAATCAGAGTTAAAGAATTATCTACATGCTCATTCCTTCTACTCTTTAGATGAATACTTCAATGTAAATAGAGAAAAATGTAAAATTAAGTTATATTAATTTTTAAGCTAAAATTGCCTGTACTTATGTATGTAATATTTTGACTTGTTCTGTATCCAAAGGTACTAACCTGCTTAGGATTTATAGAATGTAAATAAATTCAATTCAATTCAATTCAAAAACACTCTGTAAATGGAGGCTGTATACACCTCTGAAACAAGGGCAAAACTTCCCACAGACACACAGTGCAAAGACCCAAGAGCAAAATCGATATCAATATTATATTACAATCCAGAAAAACTTTTATCTCCAAATTACACTTCTAATTCAACAGCATGGATCATACTTTTCAGATATCTCCTATAGATTTTTTGCCTGATATTGCCTTTTGTGAAATCATCAACATTACCTTCTCAACACACCTCCTTTCCTTCTTTGTGTAACTAAAATTGGTTGTTTAAACATCAAAATTTACCATTTAAGATGAAACAAATGTCAGAACTATTTATGCACAAAGATGCACACGCGGTTTATGAGGGAAGCAAGGTCGAGGTCGAGCATGACTCTAGCCAGCCAGAATACATACATACATATCNAGCCAAAAGAAGTACAGTATAAACCATCGTCAGAATCCTTTCAAGTATATCCTTTATTTCCCATAAATATCCGTACAGGCAGCACACCCAGGATGTGGAAATAGTCATATGAAATACATGCACAAAGTCACATAATGAAGATCACCCACATTAACTAATTAACATATACAATAATATTAGGTAAAAAAGATAATATCTTGATGAACAGACATAATTTAAAAGTAACTACAACACAACTTTAATTAATATAACTCTTCACATCTCCTATACTAACTATATTAAAACACGGCATTAAAACATTCAAATTTATGTATATTTGTAATTAAAATACTCATTTAATGCATAAAAAGAGTTAGCATGTAAAATTTTTTTTAGGGAACGTTCAAAGGATTTCAGGTTATTGGATAATTGTTTAAGCTAGGTAGGCAGATGGTTGTAGATTTTTATACCCGAATAATATGCAACCTTCTGAACTTTAGTAAGTGAAGTACTCGGTGGAAATAGGTTAACATTCTGTCTGGTACCAATATTATGTACCTCCATATATGTGTATGTTATTTATAGTATGTTGAATGTTTATGTGATAAGTATCACAGTACCTGCTGCCAGAACCCATTATCCCGCGTTATTTTGTGTTGCCGTCAGATATAACATTGTGCCATGACGGCGAAAGTCGGAATAGTGGAGGAAGAAGAGATGTTAATTGCTGGGCAGGGGCACGATAAATACTTTTCTGATGCGGCAGATTCAGACGCAACGGTAAAGAACGATGTGTTGTCCATGCGGACTTTCGTGGAAACGGCGCTGTTGACACGTTTCCGCAGCAACGATTCACTCGCAACAGTATACTGAGAGGTGTTTTCTGTTTTGTCCGTCTCGAGGCTATACGGCGAGGACGAGCGTAGAGGTAAGCAGTAGGACTTAATCTATTGCTGTGAGGACCGTTGGTATCAGCTGAGAATTAGAGAAATATTTCCTGCGTTAAGAGTAACCATGGTGAGTGCTTCCTGCTTGTTTGCGGGAGAAAAAATGCATTTGTCCTCATCCCTCGATTTAGAATTCCAGAGAAATCGGATATTTTGTATATATCTTACGTGTACTGCGGATCTATGGAACGTTAAATATAAATTGAAATTGTGAAGGATTGTGTTATTTTTCATAATCCATGTATTCACAATTTTATGGGTCGTTATAGGTAATGTGAATTAACAATGATGAATTTATGAAAAGGTAATGCAAGAAAGCTATGTAGCATTGCTGTGAGCGATGTGAATGAGAAATGCAGAGGAAGTTCCAGAGGGTAAACCTGTAGGAGTGAGAAAACTTCGGAGACTTATGCATAAAGTGTAGGATAGTATAAACTTCTTTATGGCACAAGCAGATTAGATTTGACGTGTACCCGTGTTAAAATTGCCAAAGCTCAGACTTTCTCGATGTTAATCACAAAGTAGACAATTTATGTAAAAAGATGGTAGAAGTAGGCTCGCACACTGTATATATCTGTTATCATTTTATAGTAATCCGCACAAGTACTGAGGTTTTTTGTGTCGCACTGCATACTTTCCCGACACCATTTCATGGGTTCAGTTCTCTTGGAGGTGATAGGTTATGTCTGCTGCGCTGATGCGATTATTCCGAATAAAGTTTACAGTAAGGACACTAGGTCGCACTATAAGTACTTCCTGTATGGAAAATGCGTTAGAACGGTATGGGCTAGGTAGGTATTAGTGGAGATTGTGTACATTATGCTAAAAATAAAGTTAATCTTTAAATATTCTCAATTCAGTGTATATCTACAAGTTGTATGGTACAATCAGGCAGCCAGAGGGTTAAAACACCTTACCAGACACAAACACTACACAGAGTGAACAGTGACAGTATACTTGTATTTGTTTACAGAACCTTGCCGATGTACAGAACGTACAGGGTCAGCGTAGTGAGACGTGCCCAACATGTTCACGCGATGCGTATCAGGCCGTCAGTATAAAGGCCGAGGTATTTTCAGATGTAGAAGAAGAGGAGTATCCTGTCCCGATAACATATCCAGGAATAAAGGCCGAACCTCAGGTGAGTTGTGTCTCCATTACGTGGATTTCACAAGTACAGGTATCCCTTGTTTTACAAACTTCGCTGCTGCAAAAACTTAGGCCTAGCGCACACATGCAATTTTTAGTTGGCCGATAGTTGTGCACTATCGTGGAGGTCCAACGATTGTCGAGGGACGTAAGCACACATACAGTTTCGAGTTGTCCACAACTACGCCAGTGAGCAGTCGGTCATTCGCAGCATGGATGTGTAGGATACAGCAGTAGTATATGCGTTGTTAAGATTAAGGAAAGAAGGAAGTGGGGAATATTGGGTTCACCCAATTTATAGGGAACGTCTGTTAAAAGGAAAATTTTACACATTGTACCGTGAACTGAGACAATACCCATAAAATTTTTTCAGTTATTGCAGAATGAGTGTTGATAGTTTTGATGAATTGTTGCTTCTTCTGAAACCTCATATCTTGTACAAGAATACAAGATGGAGATTGGAGTTTAATATTTCTACTATGATGGCAAACACAAAAAAAGTAAAAAGGTAAAGTAAAATTATTCCTGTAACAGGCCCTTAGGATTGTGAGATGTTGAGCTTCCCACATTTTTTCTAGACGACCTGCTCATAGATGGCGGTAAGGTTGTCAGCCCTATGCGCTGGCCGCCCTTTACCGCCAAGAACATTCCAAGAATATTCCTGGTACTCATTTCTGTTAGAGGCTGAGTCAGCCGCAGGGCTGTAGTGCGGCTGGAAGGATTGGGTAAATTGATAAAAATCCGGTGACCTCATTGGGATTCGATCCCGTGACCTTCCAGCTTGTAGCATAGTGTCTCAACCATGCTACTGCATGCCCCATTGCAAACACAAAGCACACAAAAATAGTATTTTTTCCTTACATAACATTAAGGGTACGTTCACTTTTTATGTAAGTTATTAGACTCATCACACTTCAGTAAGAATTGTCAACGAAATGAAAATTGATCATGCTAAAACTACTATATAAACAGACCATTCCAGTTTTCAATCGAAGCAGTTCACACCTCTTCCCACAACTTTTTCTTATGATTAGTATCAGAATATTCTTTACGTAATTTTAAATAAAGAGCTGGCTGCTTCTCCACTTCTACTGTAAGCTTTTCAGTGCTTTGATCCCACATGTTGCAACTAGCTTGAGCGTGAAGACAGGCAGGAAAATACACAACTTGTTGACTGAGGGTCAAATTGTGCATGATTTCAAGTTGCATGTGTGCGCACTCCCATAACAGCTCATGTACACTGGCGTTATCAACAACAGTTGGGTCAGCGGGCGGTTGAGGTAGAACCCAACTGCTCACTGACTGTTGGAACAACTATCGTGATGTGTGCGCACTCCCATTAAACGCAATGTTTCTCGGCAATGTGCCCAACTATAACTAAAAATTACATGTGTGCACTAGGTCTTACATGCATAAGAATTTCCCCCCCCCCCTGAAAGCAGAGAAATTCTATAGATCCAAAAATTTCTCACATATTCCTTGTCTATCCAATCCAGTAGGCTTTGGTACTGTGTCATAGGATTCCCAGGATCTGTAATTTGCTGAAAACTGTCATTTATTTCTTTTCTGACTTCAGTGGAATCTGTATGCATATAATAAGAGAGAGTTGTCATTATGTTGAGGATCTGTAACAGGATAAGTAATGATTCTCTAAAGATTTGTGATGACTGACTGACTGTACAGATATGTTGGACATTTCCCATTGTCTGAAGCATATTTAACATACCTGATACTTTTGGAGTTGCCTCTGTTGCTGCCTTTAGGTGACTTATCATTGTATTTACAGATTTTATGTTATTTACAATTTCTTTATTGGAGTCTGTCACAACACAACAATAGCTGGTGCCTCATCTTACAATGTATTTTGTCTGTTCTGTAGGGAATATAGATTGCAACTCATAGATATGTGGTGTATTTAATTCGGTTAATACAGTAAAACCTGCCTTAAACGGACCCTTTATTAAACAGAAATATTTTCAGGTCCCTTGACTTTGGGGCTGAAAAAGATGTTAAATAACCTGGATTAAATGGAAACTGTCTAACACAGACAATGGAAATCAAAATAAGCCTTTATACGGAAAATTTCCAGTCTTCCGGAATGCATCGTTTAGAATAATTTTAGGCATCCTATACATTCTACAGAATTTTGTTTCCCCTAACTCTTTAAAATAAGCTTCTAACGGTATTGCACTACCTGCACTGAGATTCAGCAGAATTGTTTTCCCCTTCTGGAAATTGTATTCAGTAAGGGCTCTAGGCCTACAGTTTTACTTTAGTCTAGCAGTTGTCATCATGGCTACAAAGACAAGAGTTGTGCTTGATCTTAACACAAGATTAAAAGTGATTCATGCGAGTGAGCGAGATAAATTGTCTGTTAAGCAGATCATGAAGATGTTTAACGTTGGTAAAACTCAAGTGTATGAGATTCTAAAGAAGAAAACGGAAATTTTGAAGCAGTGGGAAACCTGTGCTAATGGAAAAATAAAAAGAGAACTTCAGAAAACTGCAAACGAAGACTTAATGAAATAGTGCGGGCATGGTTTCTCAGTGTGAGGGCAAAAAATCAGCGGTTGTCAGGTCCTATGTTACAGGAATATGCTAAAAAAGTAGCTGAAAAACTGGGGAAGACTGAATTCAAAGCATCTAACGGATGTTTGGAGAGTTTTCGCAAAAGACATCGGATAGTTTTTAATGAACTTTGTGGTGAATCAAGTTATGTAAATAGTGATACCATTGAGGAATGGGAAGCTAAATTGCCATCCATAATCGAGGGATATGAATCTGAAAACATAGTGAACGGTGATGAGACTGGGCTGTTCTTCCACGTGCTTCCGAATAAATCGCTATGTCTGAAAGGTGAAAAATGTTTGGGAGGAAAACTATGTAAAGAAAGATTGACTGTTTTTCTATGTGGTTTTATGTCAGGTGAAATAGAGAAAACCTTAGTGATTGGTAAGGCGGCAAAGCCACGATGCTTCCAAAACATGGACATACAGAAACTTCCCGTTGAGTGGAGATCCAACATAAAGGCATGGATGATGTCACAGATCATGGAGGAATGGTTAACGGCCTTGAATGGTAGAACGAAAATGCAAAACCGGCATGTTTTGTTGTTCTTGGATAACGCAATATGCCACCCCCATATCGAACTTTCCAACATGTGACTTGCTTGGTTCCCTCCAAACACCACTAGTGTTTCTCAACCAATGGATCAGGGCATCATTCGGAATGTTAAGGTCCACTTCATAAATTATTAATGCAATCTTTGCTCGTCAATATAGATTCTACATCATCTGCCTCTGAACTTGCAAGAACTGTGTCGGTTCTAGATGCGGTTATTTGGATAAGTCAAGCAGTAAAGAAGTTGTTACCAGAAATTATGACAAAATGTTTCGAAAAAGCAGGATTTTCTACGGTAGAAGTTACTCCTAGTGTAGAAAATGAGAATGACCAGAAGGACGTACAACATTGCATGAATGAAGCTGCTTTCAGTAACTGCAATGCTGAGGACTACATCAACATAGACAAAAGATGTGCAAACAGAACCAGACACAATGGATATCGATGTATTAGTTGAGAATTTTAGAGAAAATCAAAAAGGAAGAGAGGAGGAGGAAGAGGAAAAAGACATTGTGATAGAAGAAGAAAAGTGTAGAGTGAAGACTTATCAGGATGATGCCAACAGTTTAAAGGTACTGCAGGAGTTTGCTGTGAAATGGAATGATTCAGACATGCTTACTCTAATTTCTCAAGCTAAAGTGTTTGTGGAAAGTCAGGCAGCCAAGAGAGTAAACTACGTGCAAAAGACTCTGCTGGAGCTCTGGTAATATTATAAAAAGTGAGTACTGCAATTTTTTCCTGTTCAGTGTAATGTTTGCATGTGTTCAATGATTATAGTGTGAATAAATTAATGAGCATGTTGTTTTGTTTTGTCTCAGATACGTTTATGTCCTGGTTTAGTTGTTATAGTATACCCTGATTGAACAGAAACCTGGTTTCAGCAGAAATTTTTTCTGGTCACTTGAGATTCCATTTAAGACAGGTATTACTGTATAGGTAAATTAAATAAAATTGTATTAATTTAAGTTTTATAGTAAATTGTTTTTAAATTATGTTTATTAATTAAAATCTTATTAACTCTTTTACTTTATATTATTATTTATGTTAATTAATTAATGTAAGTGATTTTAATTATGTGACTCATGTACTTTTGTATATATGTCTTGATATTATTATATTTAAGCATTAAGCATTTATTTATTATATTTACACTCACACAATATATATGAGACNATTTTTAAAAATTTGGAAAAAGAAAAAGAACAGAAAATTTATAGACATTTTAATTTGAATTGAAGTTTTAAAAAAGTGACAATTTTAGAAATCAAATTGACGCGTGTAAGTTAACAAAGATTTTATACATACATACAATTGGAAAGACTGGTGATTTTAAATTTTAAACTACGGGCAGTGTAGCAGCTACGTAAGAATACACACCTGATGATGGCCTTTTAGGGCCGAAATATGTAGTGTGGAGGAAGGGAAGAAGAAAGAACTACAATTAAATTGTTGCACTTAAGACGGAGTTTGTCTCATATATATTGTGTCTTGATATATCTATTTTCAAAGGGAATATTTCCACATCCTAGGTTTGTTACCTGTATCGATATATGGAAATTAAAGGAAATGAATGAAAGTTCCCACAGCAACAAATATGCTTCCAACAATGGGAAAACTGCTGGACACACTGCATGGCCCATGCTTTATCAGATACTCAAAATGTAGAGAAAGGAAAATATGCAATTATTTCTTCCCAGGACTGCTTGTGTAATGCAAATGCATAGACATTATAGATATGGCACTGTTTATTTTACAGAACCCTGCAGATTTGGGGAAAGTACGAGATCTGTGTAGTGAGATATGCCCAGCTTCTTCTCATGATGCATATCCGGCTGTCAGTCTGAAAACTGAGGTATATTCAGATCCAGAAGAAGAGGAGTATCGTGTCCCACTGACGTTTGTAGGAATAAAGGCTGAACCTGAGGTGAGTTGTCTCTCTATGCCCATGTTAGGCAGATTTCACAAATACAGGTATCCCTAGTTTTATGCACACTTGATTTACAAACTTTTGCTACAGAGAACGACTTTTATTCATAAGAATTTTATTTCTGTGAAAGCAGAAAAATACATACACAGCATGGAGCAAGTGGCGAGAAGCAGACACCACCATCATGTATGGCTCCACAGTGAAGTCAAGACCATCACAAGTCCTGTCTTAGCACTGTCCTGTATTAACTCTTGTGCCATCTACACTAGATCTCATGAGATTGTAAGTGTGAGGAATTTGGAGAACCCCCAGTTGTCCTGTAGAGGCATGTCTTGTTCTGTACTCCTTGGTGAAGGTGGCAACACAGCCCCATACTTCTTACAGTATGGCATTTCACCCTGCCACCCACAACATATACTTGCCGAATACCTGAGTTTCCAACCTGACTGACTACACCATTAGCACATTCTGCATCTTGAGAATCATATGATACCTGACCTGAACACTTTCTATGTAATACAGGGAATTGCTATTATTTGAGCCTTTATTAGCCATGCCCCTGCAGGAGAAAATTCTTGACAAACTGTATGTCAGAATTCCCTGCAGTTCTGAGGATCCCTTCAGTGGACTATGGCTTTCTTAACTGAAAACGGTTCCCTTCGGGAGCACGCGACACACTACTCTGTTCCAATTTGCTATCCACATGCAAACACACAGCACCCACGGGCATCCCCCATCACGCGTTCAATCTGTTGTTTACTGCAGCCAGTGCTCTATGTGACTGGGTATTTCTGTTACTGCGACTGTTGAAAATTTAGTGGCCTTGCTACAGCCATGAGAGAAGAGCATAGCCATACTGCTGCCATCTGCAGGAGAAAGTGTACTAGATATAATCATGTGAAATTGGGTGTTATGTGTGGCAAGAAAAGAGGCAAGCATGCAGTAGGCATTACACATGTTACTCAGAATTCTGGCTTGATCATTCATATTACTTTGAAGAGTGCACAGTGAATTAAACAAAGGCTGTTAAGCTACTCAAATGTGAAAATTACACACCAAATGTGTGATGTAATGGAGGTTTTGGAGTGGCGTCTTGCAATGTGAATTCTATGAACAACCCCTTAAGCCTAGCTCTCATTCAGCAGAAAGCTTTAAGGTTGTATGAGACTGTGAAGGAGTAATCGGCAGTTCTAGCAAAAGGGGCAGGATTCCAGGATGTCGGTGAAGATGACGGTGGAATTGTTGGAATCTCATTCCTTCCCGTTAACAAATCAGGAGTTGGCAGAGGTGGACAGGCAGATAGGCACAGGATGGCCTCACTGATGAGAATGTGATTTCAGAGAGAAGTGCCTTAACAGTTAGAAAGGTTTAAGAGAAACCTCCAGCAAAATTCATGAGGCTGTGGATTATTTTGTAACCATGATCCCCTCTGTGATCATTCTGCCAAGGTTGAATGTGGAGTAGATGATGTCATGCTATAGTGAAATTTTACAAAAAGGAAAAAATAAAGTGGGCTGGAACCGAAGGAAGTCTGCAGAATGGACACCATTCAGGAAGGGACCAGAATTTCAGGTAAAAGCAATTGAAAACTTTAGTTAGTCATACGGTAAGGTTATTTATGTAAAAAAGAATTATTTTAATGCAATATCATCATTAATTCAAAATGGGCGTCAGAGTTGTTTCTGGTTGTTGGGTAGTGATTCCTTGTCAAAACATGTCATGGAAGGCATACCAACTTCTCAGGTTATGGGCACACCTGTTTGCAACCTCAGGTATTGCAGCCCTTAATAAATTTTGTATACATTATTTGTTGTGTATGTTTGGAATTTCCCTCCCTTAGGGGGATTTGCTTTAGGCGGCATCTTTAAATGTTAGTTAGAGTTAGTTAGAGTGGCCATTTCTGATATTACACCACGTTTTGATAAACTTTGTTCTCAAAAGCAGGCCCATCCATCACACTGAACTTTGACATTTAAATGTTTGATGTTCTTTGCAGATAAAAATTAAATACTTGTTAGTTAAATATCGTTTCATTTCAGTACATATTTTGGTTAATCGCAAGTGTTAAAACTAATTTATATTGTAGGCCTAATATTGTGATACTTTAATTTTGAGTAAAAAAACTGCTAACTAGTATGTAGAAAAACACAAAATAAACTGAATAAAACGTCAAACATATCATGAGTCCTATTTTGATAAAAAAAAAACAGGCTGGGGGCCTGAGAGTATTTTCTCTCATCAGGGGGGGCTCAGAGGTAAAAAGTTTGAGAACCACTGCACTACAGTCATTGAAGCTATGTGCTTTAGTGTGGCAGATTATCAGCTTTATCAGGAAGGAGGAAATCATGCTTACAATTGCCTGACACAAGCATCTATTGCGTGGTCACCCCATACCTGCTTCTAGACAGTGTGGTGTGCTCATTACCAATTAAAAGATCCAGCAGGAGTGCCCATGTTCTCACAAAGGCCAGATATTTTCATGGTGAGGGAACATTCCTTGGCATCCTGGGATATGAATTTGTTCTTGATGTCAGGGTGGTCATGTTTATTTAACCCTCTGTGTACTGTTCTCTTCGAGTCATTTTATATATATATTGTTTCAAGAATTTCACTAGGCCATATAAATTGTCTTACTGTAATTTCTTAACTCAGAGTTTATTGTTGTTTCATCTAACATTCCAGTCCACTATACAGCCTTAGAAATGCATAATATTATATAATTTTGATTGAATTCACTCAGAAGCTGTCATACATTGTGAGGGACACATCAGGACAGCACACACACGTACTTGCAAATGGCGCTCCCTGTCCATTCTCTTTCCCCCATCTTTCTTACTTTCTTAACTTCTCAATATACTGTGACATGTTGCGCAAAGCCGAGCCCCCCCCCCACACCAGCAGTGACGCGGCGGGTGAGTCAGCTCTCCCCTCCCACCCCTCAGCGGTAACGTAACGCTCGCGTAATAGGCGAGTAATCACCCCGCATCCTGGCAGCTATGCGCGGTGACGTCACGAGCGGAGCCGAAGAGAGCCGAGCGGAGCCGAAGAGAGCCGAGCGGAGCTGAAGATAGCCGAGCCCCCGCAACCTGGTAACTATGCAAGGCGAGTCAACAGCGGTGACGTAACAGGATGACGTGGCACTCATTACGCAACCGGCAAGCATTGCAGCTATATAAGTGAGCTGCACAGCTGGTACCAGTCAGTTCTAATGTGGCTACCAGCGAGTTCTACTGTAGCAGTCGGCGACTTCAGTTATAAAGTAACAGTCGCCGAGTTGAAACATAACAGCCGCGTGTGCGTTAACCAGTGATCACCAGTTATATTCAGAGTGTGTAATTCAGGGAGACTTGTATAGCTCCCGCATCATTAGTACGTGAAGACTCTCGAAGAGAGTGTTAAGAGATTTTGTTCTAGGGTTTGTAAAGTGTGGAAACCCGTAATATTGTGATAATTAATTGTAGCCGTTATTTGAAGATTGTTAAATAAACCAATTAACCATCTCTACGGCGTCTTCGGTAACGTAAACACGTTACACTGGTGTCAGAAGTGGGATCAGTGATGAAACACGTTACAATACGTATTTGGGTTTCAGAATTATTCCTATAGATAGGATGATTTCTCAGTGTTATTTCTTCCTGTTTTTCAGATTACTGTGTATGATCTTGAAACCCTACCTGGCAAGAAGCGGCAATTCTTCTGTGACATATGTAATAAATCAGTCAGTCGCTCGCGTGATCTAAAGAGGCATCATCGCATACACACAGGAGAGCGGCCATTTTGCTGTGATGTGTGCAGTAAGTCTTTCAGTGATGTGAGTAATCTGAAGAAACATCAGCGCATACACACTGATGAGCGGCCATTTTGCTGTGATGTGTGCAGTAAGTTATTTAGAGATGAGAGTAGTCTGAAAAGGCATGATCGCGCACACAGTGAGGAGCGGCCATTTAGTTGTGACTTGTGTAATAAATCATTCAAGCAACACTCAACCCTGAAGATACATCAACGCACACACAGTGGGGAGCGGCCATTTTGCTGTGACTTGTGTAATAAATCATTCAAGCACAACTTGACCCTGAAGATACATCAACGCACACACAGTGGGGAGCGGCCATATAGCTGTGACTTGTGTAATAAATCATTCACACACCACTCGACCCTGAAGATACATCAATATGTACACACTGGGGAGCGGCCATATAGCTGTGACTTGTGTAATAAATCATTCACGAACCCCTCGACCCTGAAGATACATCAGTACGTACACAGTGGGGAGCGGCCATATGGCTGTGACTTGTGTAACAAATCATTCAAGCGTCACTCGACCCTGAAGATACATCAGCGCACACACAGTGGGGAGCGGCCATATAGCTGTGACTTGTGTAATAAATCATTCACACACCACTCGACCCTGAAGATACATCAATATGTACACACTGGGGAGAGGCCATATAGCTGTGACTTGTGTAACAAATCATTGTCAGCAGAGCCTTCTGAACAGTCATCAGCACATACATAGTCGAGAGTGGCCATTTTGCTGGTATCTGTGTAACGTCATTTGGACTTCGGACACATCAACCCACACATAGTGATGTGTGCAGTAAATCACAGAGCAGTATAGATGGGTTTAGGCTGAAGGAGCAACATACAACTTGCAGCATGCGACAATATTGCAAGTTGTAAGTTTTTTATTGGTAGTGGGGTGGGACTAAGTCCCTTGTACTGTGGCCTCTTCTGGCCTATTGTACCAGATGTACCCCAGATGATAGGTGAGGGTAATTGTGGAGCAGTTGGTGGAATGAAGATTGCCAGGGGAAACCGAAGTACTCGGAGGAAACCTACCCCAGCGCCACTTTGTCCACCACAAATCCCACTTGACCAGACCCAGGATTGAATCCGGGCCACCATGGTGGGAAGCCAGTGACTGACTGCTTGAGCTATGGCACGGCCCCAAGTTGTAAGTAACATGGGTTTACTCTGTGTTGTATGATACAGGGTGACGCAAAAAGATGGGAACTCTTGAAAATAGAGAAAAAATACAATTTTTTTTTAAATGTAATCAACGTACTCAATGTGCACTTCTACATTGGAAATTTAAAAATAACTCACAGTTTGAAAATAACATCGCGAAGATGATGTCCATCTAGCCGAATACACTCTGCAAGTCGATCCTGAAAATTGCGCATAGCTCAGAGCAAAGTGTCGGGTTGTATTGCTGCGATCTCTTCTGTTATTCGTCTTCTAAGTTCGGCTAGGGTTGTGGGGCGTGTATTGTAGACCACGCTCTTCAAATAACCCCATAAATGAAAATCACACACTGGTAAGTCTGGGGAACGAGGTGGCCAAGCAATGTCACCGTTTCTGGAAATTACGCGGTTACCGAACAGATGCCTGACCGCTGCCATTGACACTCGTGCGGTGTGTGCAGTCGCCCCGTCCTGTTGAAACCAAGTGTTTTCGATATCAGTGTTCGGTACACTGTGAATTCTTGCAGCAAGAAACGTCTCAAGCATGGTTACATAACGCTCAGAAGTTACTGTCACCGTGTTTCTTGCGATGTCTTCAAAAAAATATGGTCCTATCACCCTTCGAGCTGAAACTGCACACCATACAGTGACCTTGGGGCTGTGTAGAGGTCGTTGATGAAGAACAGCAGGATTTTCTTGTGCCCAGTACCGACAGTTCTGCTTGTTCACATACCCGTTTAAATGAAAATGAGCTTCGTCTGACATCCACAGATTTTCAATGAAATCAGGATTCTCGTCAGTTTTGTTCATTATTGCTTCACAAAACTGTCGGCGCAACAAATGGTCATTAGGTTTCAGTTCTTGCACCAGTTGCAGTTTATAGGGATGAAACTTGAGTTCATGGAGTATTCTCTGGACAGACCGACGACTTACAGTCACTGCCGCTGCGACTTTCCGTACTGAGCGATGTGGACTTCTCAAGACGGAGGCTTGCACGGCTTCGACATTGTCCGGAGTCCAAGCACTTCCTGGACGACCAGAAGACTTTCTCTTTCCCACTGAACCAGTCTCTTCGAAATTTTGAACCCACGTTCGAATTGCATGTTTAGATGGAGCGTGGGCACGAGGGGCAAGGTTGAAATGCCGCCTAAACTCCCGTAAGGCCTCAACCAAACTGTCGCCGTGTCGATAATAAGCCCGCACGGCTACTACGCGTTCTTGAACGTTCCACTGTTCCATGGCTACTAAACCTCCGGTGCTACTCTACAACTTACCACCCTCCCCACATTTCTTCTCCCCTCACACTGCTGCCAACATCACATTCAAAAGTTCCCACCTTTTTGCGCCACCCTGTATTTGGGTTGCTTGCTAAACTTTGTAACTGATACAGGAAATGAACTGAGTCCCATGGTACAAATTGTCAGTGCATATCAATATCTGTTTAATACTGATTGTTGAATGTGAACAAGACCCTGTGTAGGTGAGAGCAAACAGACCTGACATGACATTCTCCACGGTTACGGTGTTTACCTCAGCTGTGGAAGCTTGCAGTTAGTAGAGAATAGTAATAGTAGATTACAGAAACTTATCAACAGCTTGTAAACATGATTCTGCCATATCATTTGTCATTTGCTGTATGTCTTCAGTGCTCTTCTGCTGTGTTCTCCGAGTGAATTTGTTGATCTCTTAGTTATGAATTTATGTACCATTTATACTGAGTATAATGAAATAAATCTTTTGGATTGGTCAGATGAACAGAAAGTGTGATTTATTGATCATCACAGACAAAATATTATTTTGTGGGATACTCTTTGTATTAATTACTAATATAAACTTAAAAAATAGAGATGTGTTGATTCTGCCTATGGGGAAATATAGCAGTAAATTGCATTTAACTGGAAGGATCATGAAGGACTTGCATGCCTCTGTTCACAGCAGATATCAACTAGCAACTAGGATATTGAGTGCCATGTCAGGAGATTAAAAGAAAAATTAGTTTGTGTATTAGGCACTTCTTGTTTCTGTAGATCTCAGTCACCTTAGATGGGAACAGTGAATTGAAAATTGTGAAGTAATATAAAATGACTTGTAGCAAAGTTGTATTTCAGTATTTCGTTTCCCTTAACACGTTTCGGTCGGGTTGCCCATCTTCAGAAGAACACGATCAACATTTAGAAAACCACTGTTACAATGTCATCTATATAAATAAAAATGTAAATGTTGGTTTGTTAATCCTCGAAGATCTCCGAAAGTTCTTCACCGATTGCTTCGAAATTTTGACACAACGTTGTATTCAAACACGCACGTTTTTATATACCCATTATGTAGATGTCACACCTGTGACAGGTTGGTTGGTTGGTTGGTTGTTAAAGTATTAATTGTACTCAATATTAATATACTGTAACGTGTTATATGTCGTCCATCGAATACCAACAGATCGTTGCCTAGGAATAACCGTGGCAACGAACTGTTGAAACGGCGAAATAATGCAATTCTGCGGCAATGAGCACAGAACACGTGAAATGGAATCCTGGGTGAAAGTGCCCTCTATTGCGTCCGAAACCAGGTTATAATAGTCCGGCTCCGAAGAGTTTTCGGTGATACTGGATGTGATAATAATTGTACTCGCTGGTGTAAAAGTGAGCATTCAATAACTTATTCGCTGAATCCGAGACATGTGTGGAAGTTATTTGTCGCACTGAATAGGAGACACGTGACCACAACAACGTGACATATTCTTGTTATCAAAGTACATGTATAAATAATGCAACAATTTAAAAGACATCAAGAATATGTCACTCACTAAAAATGTATTTTAATACTTTATGATGTTAAAATCATTAAAAATTTCAATCTATATCTATATAAATACAAATGTAACTGCTGGTTTGGCTCTCCTCGAAGATCTCTGAAAGTTCTTCGCCGATTGCTTCGAAATTTTGACACAACGTTGCATTTGAACACGCGCGTGTTTTTATATGCCTATTATGTAGATGTCACACCCGTGACAGGTAAAAACAAGTAAAAGTATTAATTGTATTCAGTATTAATACACTGTAACGTGTTATACCTGGTCCATCGAATACCAACAGATCGTTGCCTAGGAATAACCGTGGCAACGAACTGTTGAAACGGCAGGTCGTTGCATAGGAATAACCGTGGCAAGGAACTGTTGAAACAGCGGGTCGTTGCCTAGGAATAACCGTGGCAACGAACTGTTGAAACGGCAGGTCGTTGCATAGGAATAACCGTGGCAAGGAACTGTTGAAACAGCGGGTCGTTGCCTAGGAATAACCATGGCAACGAGCTGTTGAAACAGCGGGTTCTTGCCTTGGAATAACTGTCACAACGAACTGTTGAAACAGCACATCGTTGCCTTGGAATAACCGTGGCAACGAACTGTTGAAACAGCAGAAATAGTACATTTCTGTGGCAACGAGCACAGAACACGTGAAATGGAACCCTGGGCGAAAGTGCCCTCTATTGCGTCTGAAACCGGGTTATAATAGTCCAGCTCTGAAGAAATTTTTGGTGATACTGGATGTGATAATAATTGTGCTCGCTGGTGTAAAAGTGAGCGTTCAATAACTTATTCGCTGAATCTGAGTTGTGCATGGAAGTTATTTCGTAAGTATAGTTTATTTTTCGTTGTTTTTCTTTTCGTTTTCTAAGAACAAGCTTAGGTCGTCATACTCGCGGAGCGGAAGCAATGCATCGAGTAATTTCAAATCAAACTGGGGAAGAATGGGCAGACTGAGCCACAGCAAGGTGTGGCCAGGCACAGCTAGTTAATATATAAAAGTTATTCATTGTAACTACATAGGTAGTTATTAGTCATTTAGAGAGGGTGGGTTTCCCCATGCACCGCGACCAGTTTGATCTATTGTGCTTCCCTCTATGATATTCTACCAGTCTCTATACCCTACCAATAAATGGTGCGTACCATCAGTCCCGCCGAGCAAGCGAGTTCGGCCACTTGCTTAGTGGTATCTGTAATGCCTCCCCCATCTATCAGAGGCCTTAGAGACTATTGTTGGGCGGGAAACGTCCTGGAATTTGGCTCAGTGATCCCCTTTGGGGATATGAGGTTCTTTTACGTGCCGTAAAGTTACGACACGGGACACACAGCTTAAAGTCCCTCCCGGAGAGCTTGTTCTCTGAATTTTTCCGCCCTTAAAAATTCGACGACCTCCGCCGGGTATTTGAACCTGCGTACCACGAGTCATGAGGTGGGAACGTTACCTCTAGACTACGGAGGCTGCTAACTACATAGGTAAGTCAATAAGTAAGTTACAAATGGATATAGTACTTGAACAAATAAGAGTACTGATTTGAAAAATACTTTTATTTCTAAACATAATCTCCCTGTACGCCGTACATTGTGGCACTTTTCCCATCATTTCATGAGCCCCTGAAAACCTGCAGCATAATATTTTTTGGGCTGCTGTCAGAACCAGCTGGTGACTGGGATTATGAAGTCATACTGCTTACTGCATTCCAGCCTCAAGGACAAACTGTAGATGCCAACTCCTACTGTAACATCCTCAGGAAA